GCAATTCAACTTCTTCAGGACCTTGTTTCTTTCAGTTATTAGGGTTTTTTAGGTTTCTCTCAGAAGAAGCCCTAGCTTATAACACAAGTTTTAGATCTTTGTAAATTAGTTATATGTATCAATCAATATATATCATTTGATTGATAAGCTTTTTGTACATAAAAGAAGAAGACAAAGTCTTTTTTTTTTTTTGAATGTTCAGAAAAAAAAAAGAACCTTTTTTGTTTGGAATCAGAATAAAGTATTGAACTTTGTCACAAATGAGCCTAAAATGGATAGAGTGAGAGATTTTCTAGAGGAAATGGTGAAATTCACACTCGAATTCCGTGAAGATTTCGAATTAGAGCTTACCGGCGATTTCTGCTCCGGTCTACTTTCCGGCGAATCTCTTCTTCACGCCGGTGATCGGGAAGAATCATTTGCAGGTGTTCCTGAGTATCCTTTGTACAAGCGTCTTGCTTTGAGTCTACTGAAATCAATTGATTCTGGTTGTTTCTGTGGAATCTCCGAGAAGATTTCAATGGCGGAAGAGTTGATCTGGTTGAAGGAGAGAGAAGATGAGTGGAGCAAGATGATAATCCAAAAGGGTTCCGAGTTAGTCAATGTAGGTAGAGTCATAGTTGATTATACTTCAAAAAATCATCATTTCTGGTTGATTAACTTCGATTTTTAGTTGTGAATTTGAGGATCCATATTTGGGAATCTGTGAATTTGATTGATTGTTAAACAAAATTTGAACTTTTTGTTCCCTTAGCAATATTCTATCAGGCATTGAAGGATATAGCTTGCGAGCTTCACGTTCAAGAGCCCTTCTTTTCTCTCATGAAAGGTACAATTTTCCTTTTTTAGATGATTGAATTGATTGAAAGTGGCAAGAGTTAGTTCTTGATCAGATTTTGTGTTGCTTAATTTGAATTAGATGGAATCAAAACAGTTGAAGCAAGGTGTTTTGAAGCTGAGTATGATAGGTATGGGAAGTGAAAAGTTGTTACTGAGAATGATCAAATTTTGTGTCTTTTGATGGTCACAAATGTTGTTTGATCTCTTCAGACTACTGCGAAGAGGTTCTGTGGTTATGATAAATAAATGTCTCATGTTTGGAGTTCTGGTGAGATATATTGCAGACATCATTTTCTTTTTGCCTTCATTTTTCTGCAAACGATTTCTTCTTTTGATAGATCCATGTTTTTATATAGGAAGTTCACCAATTTTCGTCAATATACGAGCTGTTGAAAGCCGAGAGTCCGGAGAAAGTGTTTCCTGGCATTAAAACAATGGAAGAAGGTAGGCTTTTTTCTTTCATTGAGCCGTAGACATTAGCTTCTGTGCAAGTTGTGTTTTAAAGATTTGACATTCTTAGGTATGCAAATGTTTCGCAAGTTGTATGATGTTGATCAAGAGACCAATGGTGTTATCGCAATCCATCTTACTAAGTCAGTTTCTCAGCCTTGTGCTGCTTTGGCTCACATACTCTCTGTGAGTTCGAGTTTTTCTCTGTCTTATTCCTTTTATTATGTTTCTTCCAAAAACTATATTCAAAATTGCAGGGCTTGAGTTACATTGGCGTGCAAAGCCTTCTCAGTCTTTCTCACACTATTGGATCCATTTTTCATGCTCTGCCTCCTCCAAGATCGATGCTACTTTCTTCGTTCATGCTTCCATATAAACCAAAGGTACTACAGAAACTAAGATATAGTTCGGTTGATTAACTCAAGTGTATTGATACATTGTAGTGAATTCTTTTGGCAATATTTAAGATTTATGACATACAATTTAGAATCTTTTGGTTTTTCGTTTTGTTGAGATAAAAGGTTGTACATTGAGCCATGGAGCTAGAGCATTAGCCAAACATGTTGGTCGAAGTAGCGATAGATTTTGGGGTGTTCTTCATGGAACTGGTAAGTAAGAAGAGTAGGAAACATTGCAAGTTTGCGCAAGACATTGACACATTTTGATTTTTGAAGCTCGCTCTTCATTTTGTTTTTTTTTTTACTTCAGATTCAGATAAAAATAGGTTTACGATGGACATGATCAATCGCTTCATTAGCCATTGTTGCTGGATGAACATACATATCGTTCCACCACACGGGGACGTGTTCGAGATAAGAGTAGCTCAAGGCTATGGAGCTCGTTGGTCACAAGATGGAACCAAAGTATATAGCTTTGAAACTCAAGGATATGTTCCAGACATCATCTTTATATTTAATCAAAAAATTGTTTTACTGATTCATCGGATTTTTGTTGAAACTGTTGCAGTTCATTGGATTTCTTGAGCCTTACAGTGCGGATGGTCACTCCATGGCTTGGAAGCATTAAGACCACACCTGAAGCATCTCTGTGTCTGTAGTTCTTAGTGGAGTTTCTCTTGTAGCTGAAGTGTAATGTTTTTGTTTTGCAAGTAATTTGTGGTTTGATCTTGTTAGAAAAAGACATTTGGGTATGAAAAGAGTAAAACGAAACTAAAGGGACCTAAATGTAAAGAAACACCGTAAAATTGAGCAAAACTGATAAGTGTGATTGGGCTAGAGCCCAATATGAAAATTGTTTAATACATGGGCCTGAGGGTAAATCTGGAAATTTAGAGTCTAGGGTTTCTTCTTCATATAAGTTTTAAGAGAATCTCTTTATATCTCGGCGACGGTGGTTTTCTGGGTTTTGCTCTTACTCTCTGTGCGGAAGGAGGCTAGCTACAACAACAGATCCGATCATGGTACTTTTATCCTCGGTTTTTCGATTTCGGACACTGATGTTTATGCTTTGGTTCTCGTTGCTCGTTTAATCGTCCATTTTCTAAAAGTTTTTGCAATCGTCAGTATCGTTGTTCCTGTGTCTTGAAGATTTCGTAAAATGTCCGATATTTGTTTCATTTCAGCTTGATAATTGCTTGCTACTTTGGTTGAGATCTAGTAAACCTTGTCGGTTTCGGAGAAAACTGATCTGATGAATGTCGTTTTGATGTATTGGACTCTTGACTG